TCTGTCGAGTAGTTTTTGTTTCTATAAGGAACATGCACACAGACAGACAGACAGACAAAAATTTTACTGATTGCATTTTTGGCATCAGTATCGATCACTAATCACCCCCTGATAGTTATTTTGAAAATATATTTCATGTACAGAATTGACCTCTCTACAGATTTATTATAAGTATAGATAAGTACAATATTTTTGTTTTAATTTTTAAGATAATCTATTGCATAGCTATTGAAACAAGATAGAGATAAGTATATCAAAAAAAAAAAAAAAAAAACTTAAAAACTACATAGTTTAACCTACTTACCTAAATAAATAAATTATTAAAAAAAATAACTTTATTTATAAATTATTTTTTTGTTACATGGTGTTTTTTTATTTATTTAAAGAAGTGATGCGTAAATTTATCGTATTAATAAATAGACAGGTAGAGTTATTTTCGAATTTATAATAATTAAATAAAACTAGTTTTTACGGGTTAATGCACGAAACTTTATTTATTTATTGACGTTTCGTAGCCTTTACAGGCTTCGTCGTCAGAATGAAAACATTCTGACGACGAAGCCTGTAAATCTCCGTCAGAATGAAAACATTCTGACGAAGCCTGTAAAGGCTACGAAACGTCAATAAATAAATAAAGTTTCGTGCATTAACCCGTAAAAACTAGTTTTATTTAATGAGTGATGTGCGTGAAAACCTAAGAAACAAATATTATAATAATTACTTTGTATCTGTGATAGTCTTTGGATTAATGAGAAACGGTATGAGTAATGTTGTTATTCATCATTATATATTTCATCGAGTCATTTAATTTAAGTATTATGATCTCAATGTAAACTGCGGTTGTAATAATCAATGAAACGAAAAATATTTATACAAAAAAATTGTATTCATTAGATGCTGTTTGTAGTGATATGTTTTTACAATATGACGATTTTGCTTCCCAACATAGATTATTAGGAGAGATATTAAAATTAATATTTTAAATCATTTTTTTCGCATCAAATTTATATATTTCTTTCGTTTTAATTAACGACCTCCGTGGCCGAGTGGTTTGTACGCCGGGTTTCATGGCTGTCGCCGACTCGAGAGGTCCCGGGTTCGTATCCCGGTGGGGGCAGATGTTTGTGTGATGAATACGAGCATTTGTACTCCAGTCATGGATGTTTAATATGTATTTATATAAATATACTTATATATGTACAGTATAGAAGTGAGAGGCGTGAAGAAGCAACATGCAGGCCGGCAGGGTGAAGATGGCTGGTGTGGCAGGTAAAACTGCTGTATCAGCTATCGTCACGTCTGGACTTCGCCTTCACTTAACATCAGGTGGGGTGGAGTCATTTGTCGGACCTATCTATAAAAAAAAAAAAAAAAAAAAAATGTATTCTATCCGTTACCCTAGCATCCCATAACACAAGCCTTATAGTGCTTACTTTGGGGCTAGGCTAATTGGTGTGAGTGTCGGAAATATTTATTTATTTTAAATACGTTTGAATTGATGTAAAAATGTGTTTTTGATGCTTATTTTTAGTTATGTCTGCCTATGGGACGATCGAGTTTGTGTAATAGTACATTATGATATAAGTGCGGTAAGTTTAAAATTACAGCCGAGGCGATATTGTTAGCCCGAGCCGTAGGTGAGGGCTATAAAAAGGCAGAGGCTGTAATTATCAAACAGCACGTATGTCATACGAAGTTTTATAACACATTTGCGAGGAAATAATACTACCTACGTACGTACTTTCTGAAAATGAATTTGTTTGTTTTTCATAAGAAGAAAATTTGATACGCTTGACTGTAAGTATCTATCCGTGGATTTTTCCAGCAAGAGGCTTAGCGTAGCCTTTTTCGACTTCTGGCGGTGTCAAATTAATAAATTCGTTACTACTTGACAATATTTTCAAATAAAAACAATACAGCGAAAAGAGAAAGAAATAACTTTTTCACAGATTAGCGATGCGCGCGCTTCAACGCTTTTTTTAGGCAATCGAACGAAAAACAGCCAGTGTTACTAACAAAGTAAATTAATATTTTTGTTAATTTGTTACCGATACATGGTTGTAATTTATTGTCTAAATGAATCAAATTAAAGAATTAAATGTTTATATATTATATTTTATCTCTCAAAGTTAATTTTATTAAGAAAATGATGGTTACCTTTGTCACATAAAAACTCTTTGCTAAGATTTTTTAGACGGAACATAATAAGCCGTGCGTTTTACTTTACATTACCGCACGCACATTACTCATGTGATAGATTATGATATTGAAATTGGTGCAATAAGAGACGCTTTACGAGCAAATGTGTTATAAATTATTTTTTTCCTTTAACGTTAGCAAAGTTTAAATGCAACATATTCTTTGTTAACATTTAGCGGGAATTTACAACATTGATGCATAATTAACACATTTACGCCCATTAAATAATACTTAACGACTTAAAATAGCATTAGCAGGTACTTAGTACCTAATTAAAATTATTTTATGCACTGATTGTACACAACAAGGTCGTATGCTTGCTAGGCTTGTTGAAAATATATCGATGTATCGATATATCGATATTTTTTGTTCGATATATCGATATTTTTTGCCGATATATTTTGATTCGATATATCGATACAAAATAACCAATATCGAAATTCGTATCGAAAACGATATTTTTTTAATTATTAGCGGCATATCACGATCTAACTAAATTCGTATCTGGAAAAATCGTAACTAGATCTCAGATTAATGATATTCAACATATCTATGATCTGTGCTGTATTTAGTATTGTCTATTATTTGTAAATCTGTTTCGCTGGTGAATTGGTTGTGCTGATTTCCATTATATTCTGTGGAACTGTGTGACTGTCTAGTCGTGTTTACGAAAGATGGCACCTGAGAGGCCCTGGCATTGGCATTTTCATCATTCGAAAATAGGGTCTATTTTTAGGGAGATAATTTTCGTTCCATTATTATTCCGCGTGTCATATTTCGTGAGATACTGTACTGTCATGTAGTGTAGCGGCAATTTGGTAATTCTTTCTTTAATTATAATTTGTATTGAACTATTATTACTATGCTAGGCTGACCTAAATATATTTTTGGAAAAATTGGCCCGATATATTGATATATCGATATTTTTTTTCGCGATATATCGAAGCCGATATTGATATTTTTTAAAATATCGATGTATCGATATATCGATATTTTTTTCAACTTTCGACATCCCTTATGCTTGCACTTGTTTTTTGCAAGTTAAATCAATAATGCTTATCAAACATCATTTAAAATGTAGGAAGGCTAAAGGGAAAGATCTTCCTCCGAGCTGGGTGATGGTAGCTAGCTCGGGCATCGTATATATGGAGTAAGCTCCGAATTTCTCTTGCGCGTTGTAGGCTTCCATACGTTGTGAACGCAGTGCCGGTAACGCCACCTCTTGAGGAGGCGTAAGATTGTTTCCTCCATGTTAGTTATATATGGGGCGTGTAGATGTCGCCGCCACAAAAATAATTAATACTTAGCTCGATGAAAGAACACTTAATTTTTGCAATTATCATGATTTCGATAAATATTCTTAAATTACCCTCGTAATGCACAAACTGCTCTCGTTGTATATTTTATCTCAATTTGTGAGTAATCATAGAATGAATAGGTATTTATTCTGAGGACCTCGATGGCGCCAGTGGTTAGCGCGTCCGGCTGCGGTCGTTGAAGTTGAGCAACTTTCGCAGTGGTCGGTCATTGGATGGGTGACCAAAAATTTATTATCTCGAGCTCCTCCGTGCTTCGAAAGGCACTTTAAGTCGTTGGCTGCATCTGCAGTCGTTAGCACCTACCAACCCGCACTGGGCCCGCGTGGTGGGTCATGGCCCAATCTCTCTAATCCGTCCATAGGGAAGGCCTGTGCCCCAGCAGTGGGAACATTAATGGGCTTATGATGATGATGATGGTGATGATGAAATAGGTATTTATTTAATACCTATATGTAATTTCCGTATTAGTCAATGGTGTATCATAACCAAAAGGAAATACCTAATTGTCGACAAACACGATATAACAATTATATCTGATGGTAGCATAAGTAAAACCCACGATTAAATTATACAACATTGATGATTGACGAAGCGTGAGAAAAAGTAAGGAAGCAACAGTTGTGATAACTTTCCTGTGATAGTAGATAGAAGTGATTAGACACACAATTACAAATTCAAATTTCATCACTGAAATATCGCATGCTACAAAAACATAAGTTTAAGAGATATTGACATCATGGACAAATAAACATTTAAAAAAATACTAAATAAAAACTATGCTGCTAAAACGCCAAAACAGACTTGGATGAAACCCGGCACACTGATAAACCATTACCTGGTTAAAATTTAGTATGCCATGTGCTGGTTCGCACATAGGATACTTACTCTTAACCAAAGTCCCAAAAATTATCCAATATAATTTTCTACATTTGGGCTTATGTTGTTAATTTTTTTTGGTATTATATATTTTCGAGTTCTTTGGCCAAAATGGTTATTAGCAATATGCTCAACATATTATTTTGTGTCCTTTCCCTTAGCTTTTGTGTTGGTATTTGACATTTTTTTAAATTTCTCACTGCTATTATCATTTATCTTATCTACTAATACATTCTTTATTATTTGGACGTTATATATTATATCTTTAAAAACAACCTATACATTTTCATCTACGCCTCTTTATATTTCAAGCATTTCAAACTGAATTTCTACTACAATTATAAACTAGTGATTTAAATTTCATTCTACTGTTACAATTTATTTGTCTGCAATTGATTTCCCTCCCATACAACTACCAAGACCCTTTTCCATCACCCTAAAATATAATTTCTGCTATAAAACAATCGTAATTGTGTCCTTTCCCGAGACCTTAACTATATCTATGTCAATTTTCATCAAAATCACAGACAGAAAGACAGCAACAACTTTCACATTTATAATATAAGTATGGATTTATTTTAATTTACGATTATTTTCTACTTCCAGATCCAAGAACAGAGAAATGGCTGCTCATGTCGAGTCCTGGTCCACTGCTTACCATCCTGGCGACGTACCTGTACTTCTGCACGTCAGTCGGTCCCCGCTACATGAGAGACCGGAAGCCCTACCAGCTGAAGAACACCATCATCGCCTATAACATCAGTCAGATCGTGCTTAGCATCTTCCTGGTTTATGAGGTAGGTGCCATCACATAATTCGATTAGTTCTTTAAACAAGAATTGACTTATTATTCTCTGATTAAGTTTCTCCCATCTTATGGCAAATGTGAAATTCAATTGTTTAGAAGTTTACTGATGAATGGAGAAAAACGCTTCTTCAGGCACTGCAAAGTAAGAACTTAGACGGTCTGAATTTCATCAATCATTTCTGCATTAGATTTACTCATATTTTTGTTCTCATATACTATTTTCTTTCTTGTACCTAAGCGTTCCATATTTCTCAGGAAAGTTTTATGAACAAAACATGAAACGATTCATTGAGTACATATTATTAACAATTAAAAATATTTACCATAGACTGCGATGACATTAAATATTTGATGACACCTTACAAAACAGGGGTCTAAGATATAAAAATATGAAAATATTTGCCTGTTCCATCTGAGCAAGTATTAAAATATTTGCAGTTATTAAAGTGCATAATGAACACAGTACACATAAAGTAAATATCGCGGTTTGTAGCATTTAGCAAACAAAAGGCGTCGTTTCGTATGCATATAGTGTTGAATTATTGTGCTAAGGATCATATAACGATTATCTAATGTATAAACTGGGCATACGATAGAAAATTAAATTAACATCAATTGTTGATAAGATGCAAGACAATTCAAAGTAACACATAAAGAAGGACCACTCATTTTCTTTAAACGTCTACGCATATTCGTGAACCATTGAACAATAATATACAACTAGTAGTGCTAAAGCGTTGTTATATACATAAGTCTGATCTAATAATCCACAGTCATGTAACAAAAGGGTATTTGACAATTTTTAGGAAAAGATCTCACATTATTTACTAATGTTTATGGAGTATATACAAAAGTGGATATTTTTAATTCTGTTGTGTAATTCAGTAAACAAAACTAAATCAAAAATCAAGTTGCCGCGAAAAAGTCTCCCTGAACATTATAGCGTCTCACTAGTTAGTGACGTCACACGACTGTCAATAAAACGTCAAACGATACAATGTAATGTCGCTTTGGCCGGAAGTTTACTAGTGTGTGACGTCATTTTAGTGTTGGCCAATCCCAGGCGGTTTCGATCACGTGACCATGAAGCAAAAACAATCATTTCTATTTAATGATTTTTTAGAAAAGTTACTAATTATTTGTCCAGGATATTTAATCCAGATGCCAACGATTGGTATATTATTTTTAAAAGTGTAGAATAGCCTAATAAAATCGTCATGGTGTATTTACAATTATCACTTTTACTGATTTAATGACTTACTTTTATGGTCATCTCTTCTCTTCTACAGGGGTTGGTTTCTGGATGGTGGAATGACTACGAATTCTCATGCCAGCCTGTCGATTACTCCGATAATCCTAAAGCAATAAGGGTAAGTTAAAATTTTAATCTTTTATATATGTATTAATCCACTATTATCTTGAGCCTGAATATCAAGGAGAACGCTTGTGAGTAGGGGGGAGTCGTACTTCCCGAAATAAAACAAACCCAAATAAAGGGACAGAAAAACGTCCCGCATATTATTTTTTTGATAAAAACCATTTATTTATTTATTTAATTTTTCATGAACAATTGTACAATGGCGGTCTCAATGCCGTAGGCATTCTCTACCAGTCAAGCATAGGGTGTTTATCTATATTATGTTGATATAGTTTTGTTCATCTATGCATACATACTGGTGGTTTCGCAATATTGTCGTAACATCCTTTTCAGGCATCGTTCTTAATGATCAGGAAAATGTGCAAACAAGTATGCATATTTATAAATAAGGAAGCGAAATCGTATAACTCGTGTATTAAATCTCTGTCACCACTCTCAAGATACTGTATACAACAATGCTGATTGCAAACATAACATATTTATACAACATCATTAGTTTTATTGAAGTGAAAACTTCTTTAGCGGCGTTGTACACTTTTTCTGTATGGGTAAAAAATGATAATCTCGCGTCAGGTTAAACACGTGGGCTGATCACATCATGACACACAATAAAATTGGAAAGGTTGTTGACTTTCAATATATTGGACGAAACATAATAATATTTTATTATATCGTATTATAAATCGAAAATTCGTAAGACGAAAACAATTAAATTGGAAAGGTTGTTGACTTTCAATATATTGGACGAATCATAGTAATATTTTATTTTATCGTATTATAATAATAAGTCTGTATCTAGGACGTCCAGGTGGCAGCTTTATTGTGAAGAAAATGCATTTTTTAACAATAGATGTCGCTAGGTGCGCTTATATGAGAATCAGAGATAAACTTTTTAATGTAATATAAATTATCATATTTGTGTACGATAGCGCAATTAATAAATATTTTATTCTACCACATAAATGACAGTACTTTTATACTGATAATTAAAGAAATTCGTGCAAAGTTATTCCCTAACCATTCCAAGATATCCAAAATGCACAACGTTAATATTCAAGTTTTCACTTCTGCCGGTACTCCCGGAGTGCAACCCGTCGTTTTTTTTATTTTAACTTCAATGGTCAGAAACATTATAGTAATTTATGGAATTTTTAAAATTGGGAATCCAGTAAATTAGGCCCTGCCAGAATCATTAGCGCTGCAGCAGCCCTGGTGTTGCTGTAGTATCAAGCTGAGGCAGGGACCTAGTTGACCAAAAAATTTTTTTTATTATTTTTATATATATTTAACAATTCTTTATGGTCAATAAAATTTATTTCTTTCTTCTCTTTCTTTCTAAATAACATAAATTACAATAATCATTCCAATTTCCAATAATATATATCTTTATATATATAATTCTTCTGTGAGTGTGTATGTCACTGAACTTCTCTTAAACGACTGGACCGATTTTGATGAAATTTTTTGTGTGTGTTCAAGGGGATCTGAGAATGGTTTAGATTCACAATTTTTTAAATCAAAATCGGTCCAGTCGTTTAAGAGAAGTTAAGTGACATACACACTCACAGAAGAATTATATATATAAAGATATATATATATATGTATATATTTATCCATTATCGTCGGTAGCCTATAAATCTTTCTAGCTGGGGTATAAGCTTTCCTTCGCATGGAATTGGGAAAATGGTTTAATTGTCTAAAACCATTACTCACCACCACGCTGGCCTTATAGGAAAAGTTTTGGTTGGTTCTAAAAATTGCAGATGTAGGTAGAACCAACACATTTGAGATCATCATCATCCTATTAATGTCCCCACTGCTGGGGCACAGGCCTTCCGTATGGATGGAATAGGGAGATTGGGTCATGACCCACCACGCAGGCCCAGTGCGGATTAGTGGGTGCTAACGACTGCAGATGCAGCCGGGACCAACGGCTTAACGTGCCTTCCGAAGCACGGAGGAGCTCGAGATAGTAATATTTAGTCACCCATCTGAGATGGTAAAATTTATTGATCACCCTTCGAATTACCGAATATTTTTCGGTTCGGAAAGTTGCTGAACGTCCATAATCAGACCGAGCGGTCTAACCACTGCGTCATTAACCTTCTCTTGATTCAGTATATAAGATTTGTGATTATGCTTTTCAGATGGCAAGTGCTGTATGGTGGTACTTCATGGCGAAGATTATTGAGCTGCTGGATACAGTGTTCTTCGTCTTGCGCAAGAAAAACAGGCAGATCTCATTCCTTCATCTCTACCACCACTTTATGATGCCTATCTGCGCTTGGATCGGAGTTAAATTCTTGCCAGGTGATTTCTTAATTCCTATCTACAGAGATTAGGGTCAAGTTGGGGGACATTGTAACAATAGTTGTAGAAAAATATGCTAGAATTATATTCAAAAGACGTCTTTTATAATCTTTCAACGTAGTGAAATCAACTTGTCTGAAAAGCTTTTCCGCATATTTCCTACTACAAAAACCACATTTTTCAAAAATCACTATAAAACATTTAAGTTTCAATTGTCTTGAAACTTACTAAATTGATATCTGAGAATTCTGAGACTGAGAACTATTAAAGCTAGGCCATATAATGGGATTTTTTTCCTCTGAATATTAATCAGTTTTTCCCTGTGCAATATTCATTTTGAAAAATATCTTTTGCAGTGACTCAGTTATTGACTCACGCATCAGATCTGATTTTACTAATTTGGTTAAAGTATTTCGATTTATGTCGACTTCATAATGTTCGATGTATTTTTTCACAAATACTAAGTAAATATTTGTTACTGAACCATATGGTTCAATTCATATTCTCACACGTTGGTATACACCAATATTGCTAAGTAAATTATTATACTAACTGTTTTGCATATTAAAATGACGTCGCATTAACTTTTCCATCCACGGTGTCTATAATATAGGCGATTTAATAGGTATTAGTAAATTCCTTTAAGTAGTTGCACTTCATTAATTAATATTCTCTTTATTTTTAGCTGCATTGCTATTCTATAGAAGTGTGTTTTTTTGGGAAATTACTATCCCTGATAAAACAGAAAGGCACCCATAATAGCTGTTGTATGACATCTCGTCTTCTTCCTGCTTCATCTTTTAATTTAATCTATACATTAATACTTCATCATCATCATCATCATCAGCCTATTAATGTCCCCACTGCTGGGGCACAGACCTTCCCTATGGATGGAATAGGGAGATTGAGCCATGACCCACCACGCGGGCCCAGTGCGGATTGGCGGGTGCTAATGACTGCAGATGCAGCAGGAACCAACTGCTTAACGTGCCTTCTGAAGCACGGAGGAGCTCGATATAGTAAATTTTTGGTCATCCATCCAATGACTGACCACTGCGAAATTTGCTTAACTTCAACGATCGCAGCCGAACGTGCTAACTACTTGCGCCATCGAGCTCCTCATACTATACTAATACAAATACTTAATTCAGTAAATTCTGCCCCAAGGCCAAATTTATCGAAATACAAAAATTCATCAAAATGATCCTGCGGCTCAGACATCATCTCAACCGACTTCACTTTTGTATTTATAGTATAATCAGTAAATTTTCCTTGCCAGGTGGTCATGGAACACTTCTGGGCGTGATCAATTCTTTCATCCACATCATCATGTACACATATTACTTGATCTCCGGCCTGGGACCTCAATACCAGAAGTTCCTGTGGTGGAAGAGACATCTGACGACGTTGCAATTGGTAAGTTTTATGAACATAAATAGATCAAACTGTTAATGTGTTTAATAAATTCTCAAAGGTGTTTTATTAAAAATAGACTCTTATTTTGCTGAAATTAATATTTTTAAAAGGAACCCCGTTCATTGTACAAAACCATGCTACCCGCTTAGTGACTGCCTAATGATGTAACAGATCAATAAGACTGCAAATTATTTCCATAAAAGTACCTACCATTGAAATCTCATTACATATTTTTACATTACACGTGGATGATTTGATTCGAGATGATTTTGAGACGGTAGCTAGCAATATCATTATTTAAGTTGAGCAGCATCCTAAGCATGACTCACGCTATACCGTTCTCAGTCCGTGCTGGGCGTGCGTCCTCCATACCGGGTCTGGAATTGAATAAGGAATTTGTAATATCTAATCATATTTATTTCCTTATATTTCCAGGTACAGTTCTTCATCATTCTATACCACAACGTTCAAGTTATGTTTGGTAGCTGCAAGTATCCGAAGGGCATCAACTTCCTCTTGGCTTTCAACGCTGGCCTTTTCATCTACATGTTCGGCAAATTCTACATCAGGAACTACCTCAAATCCAAAAACAGTGGAGACAGTAAACCAAAAGAGATCGCAGCCAATGGAAAAGCAAAAGATTGCTAGCAAAAGACTTTGAATAAGTACAATATTAGATTATTAAATTTAAGCCTAAGCATTATGTAAGATATTGTGATAAATGTTGTTGTTATTGCAACACTTCTAGTAAGTTTAGTTAGTTAGCTTAGTACTGAACTTGAATCATGTAATTTATTCACTTTGTCATCTGTTATAATAGTTCGGATGAAGGTCTTTGTCCACTACAATGTAACTGAATCTAATAAGGTACAAATCATATCTAACGTATATAAATTATTGTTGTTGTTATTGAACTCTTTTAGCCATCCTAATCCCTCTGTGCGAGTAATTCTTTGACAGGTGAATCCGTAGTTGGTAGTTAGCATAGAAAACTTAAAAGCTTCTTCTGTAAGTAACATGTATGGATGTGAAACGAATACTATACTCTTTCACTGTAAAGGCTGTACGTCGCTGGAATGACTTGCCCCCCAATATACGTAAAGCTCGTAACAAACTTTTATTTAGGGGATTGGTTCGTGGGCACTATCTCAATAGCATTAAACAGCGTTCTCATATTTTACTGACATACGTATGTATTCTGTTAAGAGTATTTGTATCATAGGTTTATCTTAATTTTGTCTTTATTCATAGCCCCCGTCATATTAGTTTTTTTTCTCACGCTCTTACTGGTCGACTGGTAGAGAATGCTTTATGGCATTATGTCCGCCATTTGCTTTGTAATTTTGTAATAAAGTTTAAATTAATAAATAAATAGATACAGAGAGGACAAAGACCTTAATATTAAACTAGAACAAGTAAAAATTACAAGTGTGTTCACAAATACAGATCCGTTTCAAATTATTGTTGAAAACGAGTACCGTACTTATACATTGAATGAATGCAAAGATGGCTGAATCAGACATTTTCAGATTCTTTGTAAACAAAGGTTAAGAAAATGTCTGCATTAATATCTTTTTAACATCTAAGTAAGAGATAATTATGTCAGATTTAAGAACAGATCATAAAATACTGTCTAGTTGTTATGTATAAGTATAGTATTGAATTGAAGTGTTTGGAACTACTTAAAATGACAAATAAACTGTAACTTATACTCTCAAATGCGTCAACTTTTAAGTTTGATTGAAGTATACGAATAAAAATGGTTTCATGATAACAACCAATTAATATGCATTACCAAAACTAAGGAACGTTTTTACAAAGATTAAGGTATGCGGCCTTATTCTTGTAAGGTATTCGTCTGTTATGGTATTAAATAATAATATAAAGTATTGCTTTATGGTTGCGCAAAATAGTTGATACTGATATTTAGAGTCAGCGCTAAGAAAACCTGTAACCAGAAATTATGAAATAAATCGTAATATTTGTTCAATTTTCTATCAATTAAAAGTCAATGATAAAAAGTCATAATGCAAAAAGCCCTTTAAAAAAAATATCTGAATAAATAGAGACATAAAAGATGCAAATGAAATAATTTATTTTCATGTGTTTATAGAAATTCAAACGTTGAACGTTTTTGAATCGACAATTGATATTACTAACAAAAATAATAAAAACGAGGTAAAAATTTTGCAATATTTTAGATTAAAATAATTTCAAAGTTCTTTGCCGCCCAATGATTTCTTAAATATATATAGGTACATTTTAATCGCTGAATAAAAAATAATATTTGTAATTTAAACCCGCAGCAATTTTTCTGTTCTGTGATTAAGACATGTTTTTATATCAATGACAATGTTATTATTGTATTGATCGCAAAATTGTTATATTATTCTCTGAATAAAATATGGGTATTTTTTATTAATTTGTTTTATTGTTCTTATATTTTATGAAACTTCATTGAATTGCAACTGACTGAAACCTCAGACAAATCTTTAAAATGATTCGTATCACAAAATAATAAAAAACAGAACCGTTATCTTTAATCTGTCGTCCGTCCGACCGTCTGTCCGTCTGTCGAGACTATTTTTCTCATTAATATCTGATTCATCATATTCATTCAATCTGATTTATCAGACTATTTTAAGAATCATGATGGTGATAAGAGCTTATCTTCAAGGTTCTTGCAATTGTAATTGAAATCTAATGCTATCTGTTGCTTCATTTATTTATTTATCTTTTACATTAAAATTTTGATTAAAATTGTCTATCTGTTGAATGGTTTCTTTAGAACAAAGAAAGTGTCAACACCATCTAACTATAAGTAGATATACTGAATAGTAGACTTCTCTTAGTGTGGCCGTTATTATAAGTAGGTATTTAAGTTTTAATAAAGACATTATTGTGCATATCCATCTAGTTGTAAGGTAAAAAAATATATAGTAGGGGGTGTGATGAAGATAAGCTAAAGTTATGCAGAAACGCTGGAGGTGATGGCAGGCTGGTGATTGCCAAACTTGGTACCTCGACTCCTTGTTATTAAGAATCCACAGTAACCTTGCGGGTGCGTGGACAGTCGACCACACCCGGTGTGCATTGGGGGGACTGTGATCCTCAGAATGTACGCCGGGTGACCGGTGCAGGAGTATTGTCTGGTATTTAGTGGCCGTGTTCAGGGCTTTAGGTAGGGCCCTGCTCATTTCATCCGGCCTAAGGGCTGGCTGAAATGAGTAGGAAGGAGAAGGTATGTCTTCTTCTCGCTCCCCCAGTGGTTGAAGGATATGTAAGCCATTTCCCAGACGAAAAAAAGGTATCAAACGGGCGCCCGGAAGTCGGTTACATCTCCAGGTTATGTCCAGGACACCATCTATGGGACATCAAACCTTTAATCTCAGGGCAGTTTCGACGTGGGAGTAGAATGAGATATAGTTTTCTCTTATAAACTATTTTATTTGTCATATTAGTACATACCACTGTAGGTGTGTCAAATCTTAACATATTTCTCCATTTTTGGAATGCATCTTGCCAATATCGGTCCAAAAAATTGTTTTAAATTTTATCCATTCTTCGTTATGTTTTTATTTATTTTTAAGCATTTAACTGCTAGATGTTTAAATCTAAAGAAAAGTTTACTAGAAAAAAATCTTCGTTTTCATTACAAAAGTTAACGTTAAAAAAGAATCACAAGAAAAGAAAAGAAAAACTAATTGCAAATGTTTGCTCGTACAGAACTGTTCTGGACTTAATTAGACACGCAGCATAAGAAGTATTTTAAAGTTCTCAAGGAAATTACCTGAAAGTGGGTTTTCTGTGGTTGCCTGAGTCTTTGATATGATCAAACATGATTTTGTCCATTGTTTTGAAAATCTGAGTTAATTAATATTTTAAACATAAAAAAAGATTATTAAGCTATTGTATAGCTATTGTATATATATCGCGGGCTCTGAGCGCGGCGACCGAATCAAGAAATTCCGTAACGAAAAAACTTACAAGAGTGCATAATACCAATAGAACACAATTTTCGCCATTGCAGTGTTGATCTAAACGGCGCAGTGGGTTAGTTTTTTGCCACGGGACCAACATTCGACGCCCGCGGTCGTCGGTTCAAATCCCACACTCGTATTTTTTATTATTATATTTTTCCTTTTTTTTATATATATTTGTTTTAGACCCCAGCACCTGTTCTTATTTTTATTTGTCTCTCTTTTATATAGACTTTATAATTATAATTCAAAATTTTGGACTAAAGATGGTAAACTGTGGAGCTTGTGAAAGTTTTTTGGCGCCGGGCAAAGCTGTTGTTTGCTGTGCTTGCTAAATAACATATAATAAGGCCTGCCTCGCCATCAACGAAAAAACTTGAATTAATATCAAAGAAAAAAAAATACTGCATAAATAAATAATTATAATTGCACAATGTTGATAAAAAATGCTATGCAATAGCTTTACCGCGGCAGTCCCCGAGTTCAACACGTATTTTTTATATTAAGGAAATTATTTTCTGAATTGATCATAATCACATGACCTGATGAAATTCCATATTTCCGCAATGTTGTGAATATTATGAAAATGTCAGTAACTCCTTGTATCTATCTTTTACGCCTTCCCGCCTTATCCATTGAACAGATATTAATTTTGGTATTGTTATGATTTCATATAAGAAGTATCACTCTAGTCCAGGTTTTTTTACTTAACAGTATAGAGATGAAAAGACCTTGGAGGGAAATCTGATGCGATCTTGGACGAAAGCATTAAGAAAGAGAGATAGTTTTTAAATATTTCGTCATACTTACGCAACTACAAATTTCAACATAATCTGATATCTACCAACGGTTTCTAACAATTACATATTAATTAAAAAAAAGTGTATCACAATGACACTGCTTGGTTTCTAATTATTCAAATTTATGTTAGTTCTTTCTTTGTAAACAGCGGGCGAGATCAACGTATTTGACCCTAAAGTAGCTTAGTTCAATCATAGTGACCGAGTAGAAGAGTTGCTTCGAAAAAATAACGCGATTAAATAATAAATACTACAAAGCACATTAACTTTTTCAAATGGCGGCGATCGTTGGTAAAATATGGCAAGGGTACCAAATTGTTTTCGACGACTGGACTGGTGAGTTAAAATACCATTTAGTCACTAATTAGGATAATTATATGTAAATGGTAGTAAAAATACCATTTAGTCACTAATTAGGATAATGTTTGGTACCTAAGATCTTCAAAAACGAATTACCCATGTAATTAGGGCTGCCATCTCTAAAATGTGGTAACCAGGAAAAGACGCGTGATAACCCCGGATTTTGAAGCCCAGAACCCGGACAGACCAATAAAAAAACAGTTAAAAAAGTCACAAATCAACTTTTTTATGTTGATCGAGGCAAAAGAGCTAGCGGTCCACCTCATAATAAGTGGTCACTGCTGCCCATGGACACTTGCAGCACCAAGCGCCACTCATGCGTTGCCGTAAGTTTTTAAACCCGGACTACAAATTAAACCCCGCCCGGACGCTCCCCGGACGCCCCGTAAACTAGGACAAATCCGGGGAAACCCGGACGAATGGCAGCCCTACATGTAATGCTTCTCGCAGACCTGCGCGACAAAGCTTCGGTACTAAAATTAGTGCGTTCCCAATTTTATTTATTTATTTATTTTATTTATTATTCAAAATACATTACACCATTATAACAGGTATATAACTAATTCAATAGTGTAGTCGTCCTTTCAAGCTAACTATAAATTCTTATAAAATTATATTAATTATTAACAATATGATTTCAATGTTGTAAATTATACATAAATGTCAATAAAAATAAATAAAAGAAAAAACAATGTCAATGTAAGCAAATGTCAATTAAAAATCTATAAAAATAAAAATAACTTCAATTTAGGATGCATTACAAATATTGTCCATTATACATTTAGTTCCATCGTAAGTACGCTCCTTCTAGCTGCACGTGCAAATTCATCGTCTCCCACAAACTCTTTATGCGTATAAAAAATCCAGTCAAGCTATCATCTATATATATCTATCGCCATCGTACATCGCGACAAAAATTTCATCCCCATCATCTTGATGCGTGGCTATCCACAACCGTGCGTTTTTGTCGAAATTTTTTACCACGTACGACAAAACTGTGGAATATATTGTCGCCAGCAGTGTTACCGGCCCAATACGACCCAAAAACCTTTAAAAAATGAGCGTACTCCTTCCTTAAAGGCTGGCATCGCATTTGTGATACTCCTGGTGTTGAAAGTGTCCATGGGCGTCGGTGATCACTTATCATCAGGTGAGCCGTCGGCTTGTATGCTCCCTATAACATAAAAAAATGGTTGCCTGTAAAGTCGGTTTTACGGGCGAAGATTTTACGTGACAACGTCTTTTTCTCGGTAGAATATTTATTGATATGAATATAATTAAATTGCACAATAGGAACAAGGAATTGAATGAAAATAAGAATTGCACAAATTTTAACTATAGAAATATATTTTGTTTACTAAAACATTGTACATGTAAACTTAAACTTAACACGAGAGACTCATCGTAACGTTACCGAGCGTTACACTTTTTCATAAGTGACTCCCAGCTACCTACTACTCCCAACCTAATTTAAGACGTTGTCACGTCAAAAAAAATATCTGGTGCCTATAGACACGCAGCCCGATTATTCATGACCTAGCATCATGAACTAATTCAAATTTTGAAGGCTAATTTTATCGCATTTAGTACGAAAGTCACCCAAAGATTTGTTGCACAAGTGTGGGAGAAGCATAACAGCATAAACTCAGTAAAATTAAAAGTATTTGCATTACAATTGGAATTTTAAAAAAATGGAATTATAACAACTCTTTTGAAACTTTTCATAAGTCCATAGTTTTTTTCAATTCCACGGAATAGTTTTTTGGAACGAAGTTCCTTACGGCAGGCTTGGAGGGGATAGGGATTTTGCTGCGCGACCGAACTGAAAAAAATGTGATAGTAAAACCGTAAGCAAAAATCCGTGGAAAAAAGTGCGTGGAATAAAACCTTTAAATGAGACGTGCGCAGGCGCGACGAAGTTCCTTACGGCAGGCTTGGAGGGGATAGGGATTTTGCTGCGCGACCGAACTGAAAAAAATGTGATAGTAAAACCGTAAGAAAAAATCCGTGGAAAAAAGTGCGTGGAATAAAACCGTTAAATGAGACGTGCGCAGGCGCGACAGTCGCATACACAAGCGAGTTTGCAATTTGTGTCGATTCTACATTAGCCGAAGGAACGAAGTTCCTACCTGGTGTCCCACGACACCACATCATTTCTTTTTTTGTGTATGACTCGAAGACGTCTAAAAAGCTATGTTTTTATTTAAAAGAGTCCTGTTGAAATAGTTCCATTTTCACAAAGTTAGGATCTCATGATAGCAAACTGAAGAAGTCGAGGGAACTCTTCAAACATTAAAGGCACATCAATTGTAACACTTTAATTTGGATGTCAAGCAATTGACGTTTGTCACAATGCATGCACTTAGTGAAGTGCTGTTGATAATGAAGTACCAGGAGAACTCCTCAACATGTACTGATGTCCTGAACAGGTGGTAGGGAAAAAACCCCATTCAAAAGCGCTTTGAATAGGTCAACTTGAATAAAGTTAAATAAATTTACATTACATTTCCATAACGTTCCTGAATCGAGAAAAGTGATAATTTTTTAAAAGATAAATAAAACAATATATTCGGTTATTGTAACTAAGCTAAGCTTAACTTGGCTCATGATGTTTTGACTTATAATAAGTGAAAATTTTAAAGTTAAAAAAAAACTATAATCAAACTTCATATAAACGATAAACACAAAAAACAAAAGAAATAATCCTTGCCCTTTACTTAAATCTAAATTATCTTACAAGTAATACATATTAACAATATTTGGAGTCGGTGTTAAGCCAACAAATATAAATAAACAGGTCTATTCTTTGCCATCATTAGAAAAGCACTCAAGTTCACAAGATGTAAATGATACTGAATCAAATTTATCCGTATCTATATTCTTACAGATAAGGTACTCTGCCAATCTTGTAAAAGAATGGTGAATCAATAAAGAGCTTTGAATGTATGTCAACTATAACTGATATAGCTTGGACTTAATATACGCCTACTATAAAGTTAAGAGAAATATCTCAACCGAGCAAATCATTGAAAAGAAAAGTTTAAAAGCGTCGCATTGTAGAGTGGCTCAAGGCGAAAGGATACCCCCATTGTCTTTCACAAGAAAAATCGGGTTACGTTCTGATTAAAAACGAACTGTTTTAGCAAAGATTTAAATCGTGTTTTAGACGATTCATTTCAAATGTCAAAGAACTTGTCAATTCATATCACGCCGCGTCAAGCGCAAGTGCACCAAGCGCCGTCAATTAAAATTAATTCAATTCTGATCAAGCTTCTCGAATAAAAATTAGCACTTTGAATTTAAATATTTCAGAAATCGATCCCGCAATCGTAAAATAGTCCTAGCAACTTCTAAGTAAGTCAAAGGACCTAGTGAACGATACCATACACTATGGAGCAAACGAAGAAAAAATAAATTCATCCCAACGTTACATGTCATTTCAACTTCATAAGGAAGAATTCTTCAATACTTCTATTAGAAAACACATTATTCACGATAAAGGTATAAGGGGGATCACTCGCGGCTTGCTAGCCACTACAACTGCAATCAACATCTACGGCAGACGCACTGTAGATTATTTGTTACCTCGTCACATAAACAAAATGGACCCAGAATTTAGACATTCGCTTAATGAAAACAATATAAAATGTAAACTTAAAATGTTGTTTTTAAATAATATTATATGAGACAATGATGAATTATGATGTGCGGCGAACTGTGACGCATCATTCAAACTTTAGTGGTTTTTGTATGTGTTCTTAATGTCAAAATATATTGATTATGTATTTTTAAAAATAAATAAAAAAATAATATTTGTCTCTTAGGTTTTCACGCACATCACCCAATTAATAAAACTAGTTTTAACGGGTTAATGCACGAAACTTTATTTATTTATTGACGTTTCGCAGCCTTTTCAGGTCTGCATCGTCAGAATACTGATTTTTTATTTAATTTTCTCGAGCTACCTTCAAAAGACTTTTATTGAGCGTTCGGTTATTTCATTGTAAGATTTTTAAAATTTTATTGTCTGTGTATGAATTTATTAGTTAATAAAGTACTGTATTTAAAATTCTTTTTTGTAATTTTGAGTTTATTTATTTGACCCTAACTACCGTAAACTACCACCGGTTCCGAAATTGGGAGACCTTTCTGAGAAGAACCGACGAAACAAACTCAGAGAGGCTTTCTCAATAAAAAAATAAACTTACGTGCATTAACCCGTTAAAACTAGTTTTATTTAAAAAAAAAATAATAAATGTAGGGGAGCTACCATAAAAAATATTTTTCAATATTTTATTCTAAAACATTGTCGGCGTGATTGATATACACACTTCCACAAAATTAGAGCTCTATAGTGCCAACAGTCTCCAAGCAAGACCGGGGACCGACAGACAGATGGACATGACGAAACTATAAGGGATTCTTTATTAGAACTACGGAAGTATAAAAAAGGCGAATTGATACCTTCCTAAAATTTGTTCCGCCGATTTCGTCGATTCAAGATCTTGGTCTCACTGTAACTTAAAATTCTTAGTCTATGTTTACAGATCCAAGAACAAAATCCTGGCCCCTGCTCGCAAGGCCTTATCAAGGATTAATTATACTGGGACTCTATCTAATGCTCATTCTGAAATGGGGCCCTAAATGGATGAAAGATCGGCCACCATTCAACATTGACAAACTGCTTATAGTCTACAACGCAATCCAAGTCTTATTCTGTCTTTATTTGTTTTTAAAAGTAAGTATGCATATTATTAAATTAAAAAACATGACTGCCGTTAAAAAATTAACTAAAAAGTAAAAAAAAAAACTGATGAATTGAAAATTTCTTTCCTTAAAATTTCAGTATAAAGGTCTCTGCCCACTATACAGTATCATACCATGACCGTGCTATGAACGTGTCAGGCAAAAAAATATTCTTTGTATCAAAAAGTATGAGACAATGCCCACTAGCCCGTTCCGTCACCGACCAGCACCGTCGCGTACCATGCACGGAGCGGCTACTATTGTCTGCGAGAATATTTTGCCGGTGCCGATACGCATACGCATGGCACGCGACGTTGCAAAACCGATGCGCGCAGGCAACAAAACGGTGACTATACGGGTTAGAACCGCGTATGATGACCATTATATAGGCGTCTTAAACGCCGGAAATACTGAAAGAACTTTCCTACATCTTCAACTAAGTGCTTATACAACGTCCAAAATTCTCCTTCAGTTTTTCGTTCTTTTATAGAATCGTGAATCCAGTAGCGTCGAGTAGTTTTTTTGATTCTGTTCTTCTTCCTCATCCAATATTATGGCAATCATTGCCAGTTGTCTAACAGTTAATGTTAAATATACCTTTTGTATTTAAAACTTGATAGCACACCGCAGACGTCCATTCATTACCGATACACATGTAAGAATGAAACGGCTTCTTATCGATTTTGGTGAAGACGTCATACAAATTACGCAACGGCAACATACGGGTTGCATACCGGCATCATACGGGCTGCACACCGGCAACATACGGGCGTTATACGCCGTCAATCCATTTCAGTGGGCATAGCAAGCCGTTTCGTGTCAGTTTCCGTGTTTGATACGGTCGTAGCACGTTCATGGTATGAAACGGTGTAGTCGGTAGAGACCTTAAAGCTTTTCGACGTCGTATCGCAACTCAGTATTGTTTTTATTATTGAACTATCTGTGTGTTACCCGCGGGTAACACCGCGGGGCCGCGGCTTATTAGGAATATTTTCCCGCCGTAAAACGTAGCCTATGTGGTAATCCAAGGTGTCAGCTAACTCCATACCAAATTTTATCAAAATCGCTCCAGCTGTTTAGACGTTCAGAAGTAACAAACATACATACTCACAAACTTTTTCTTATCATTTCAGTCAATAAGCCCTTGGACGCGGTACAAATGGATATGCGAACCAGTAGATCGGAATAATAGCGAGGAAGCCGTGCATATTGCAAGACTGTGCTATTATTATTATTTGTTAAAGTTAATTGATCTGATGGATACGGTACGCTATGATACATGGTTAATTTTTTATAGCTTTTCGGTGACATGTCAGATTTTTGTGCATTTCTGTCGTATCAGATATTATGTAACATTTACAAATTTATAAATGTTCTTATTAGAAAAGAATGAAACCACTACATCTATATATATAAAACTCAAAGGTGACTGACTGGCATAGTGATCTATCAACGCACAGCCCAAACCACTGGACGGATCGGCCTGAAATTTGGTATGCAGGTAGATGTTATGACGTAGGCATCCGCTAAGAAAGGATTTTGATCAATTCTAATCCCAAGGGGATAAAATAGGGAATGAAAGTTTGTATGAAACTTTGTCAATTTTAAACCGATCGGACTGAGACTTTGCATGCAGGTATATGTAGAATCATAGATGAATGTCATTGTGTTTAATACAAGCCTGAGAACAAAAACTGTAGTCTACACTTCAGCTCTACACCGAAGCGAAGCGAGGGCGGGCCGCTAGTTATACATATATGTAAGAACCAGCCGAGTGTGTGTCGTGCCGCGCGCAATATATGGTTCCGTAGTTGCCACAATAAATTTTAGAATGAGTTTGTTTTGCGCGTTACAACCAAACAATTACTTCATCTAAGAAAGAAACAAAGAAAATAGTTTTTATTAACCCGGCGTTGAGCAGACGACGGGGCGGGGCGGGCATTTTGTCCGCGAAGCAATAAAGACCGCGTCTGCCCGTCGATGTCTGCGGCTGCCCGCGCCGCGTACACAAAGCACACGACGGGCAGAGGCGGTCAGTTCAGGACATTCGTTCTAGTGAATAGTCCATCACTAATAAGCGCGTGGCGCGGAGTGAGCTAGCCGCCCCGCGCCGCCGTCTGCGTTACTGCATATAAACTGGTTTGTATGATCCACGACGGGCAGCCGCGGACATGCCGCGCCGCTACTGCCCACCGGGCACCTGCGGCTCGGTCTTTTTGCCCTCTGTGTGCGTTTGAAGTATAGGATTCACTTTGTGCTATTATTCGCGGCGAAATTGACCGGCCCGCCCCGCCCCGTCGTCTGCTAAACGCCTTAAAACGAGCTCGATAGCGCATATAAGTGGTTACCGCGTTCGGATGTGATCTTTGAAGTAAAGCAACTTTCGCAGTGGTCGGTCATTGGATGGGTGACCCAAAATTTACGATCTCGAGCTCCACCGAGCTTCGGAATGCACGTTAAGCTGTTGGTCCCGGCTGCATCTGCAGCCGTTAGCACCCATCAGTCATGGTTCAAAAACTCCCTATTCCATTCGTAGGGAAGGCCTGTGCCCCAGCAGTGGGGACATAATTAGGCTGATGATGATAATGAACCCTTAAAACAACACAACGTTTTTAATAGTACTTATTCAATATGTTCCTGACCTCTTTTATAGTCAAAATAACATATAAGTAATGGTATATCAGTTAAAATTTTAACCAGGGCTTGAAACGGGTTTTAAAAAAATACCGATAAACAAAAGTTAATACCGGTTTTTAGTAAAGGTTTCGTTCGGAGCGCGTCCGAAATGAAAGCGGTACCTTAAACCTTAATAAACCGGTTTAATCCAGAGCGACACGTGCACGCGTCGGCATCGCTTGTAGTTTGTTTTGTTTGAACTAATCAAGTCACAACTTGGTAATGCTCAGAGATTGATGCATTTATTGACACGTTTGCTAGCGTCTAGTGAGTCAAGTTATTCATTTTGTAGTTGTGTATTTATTTCAGCCATTTATAAGAGCGAAATGAAACCCTTTAAAAACCGCTAAATTGATTCAAAACCTATTTGATTTCGCTTTTAAGGAATACCGGTTTTTTTAAGGTTTAGGTAGAGCCAAAACCTAAATAAAACGCTCCTAGTGTACTTGACATTGAGTTAGGTTTGAAAATTAACCGGTAAACAAGCCCTGTTTTTAATTAACACTTACTCTTTGAGGTCGATATGGTAAATGTGGTGTTGACCTATAATCTTAGAATAATTACACCCTATAATAATTAATTGTAACATTTGACATAAGTGTCTCCTTGTCTATAATTGTAATTGCTTAAGTGTTATAATTGTCGGTAAACCTATTAAATAAATAAAATTATTAAATAAATGTCTCGATTTCCTCTTTATAGTTCTCAATTAATAAAGCAAATGTGTTTTAGGTTTTTTTTGTGCTTCGCAAGAAATTCAATCAAGTGTCTTTTTTACACGTTTATCATCACACTGGCATGGTTATGATCACATGGGGAAATGCTACATACTTGCCAGGTAAATTGTACTTTTCATCTAAATGTCTAGAGACTTAGATTAGAGAGTTAAAGACAGATGGAGCGCACGATACGCAGATTGCGTGTCACCGAAGCAAATATAAAGTTGACGACCTACGTGGCCGAGTGGTTGGTACGCCGGGTTTCATGGTTTTTTTTTTATGTTATAGGGGGCATACGAGCAGACGGCTCACCTGACGGTAAGTGATCACCGTCGCCCATGGACACTTGCAACACCAGGAGTATCACAAATGCGATGCCGGCCTTTAAGGAAGGAGTACGCTCTGGTGTCGCCGACTCGAGAGGGTTCAAATCCCGGTGGGGGCAGATGTTTGTGTGATGAATACGAGTAAATTGTACTCCAGTCATGGATGTTTAATATGTATTTCTATAAGAATGTACAGTATATGTATTCTATCCTTATAGTGCTTACTTTGGGGCTAGGCTAATTGGTGTGTGATGGAAATATGTATTTATTTATTAGTAACGAAAATCAACTCGCGTTAGTACACTACAACGCACAGGACTTATTTACTGTTGTGAATATGTCCCGCCGACTTGTTCGAATATTGTAAAAACTGTTCACAAAAACAAATAGTCTATACTTTTGACTTGTTTTTTTTGGTGGCACGCAATCTGTGTATCTCTGCCTGCCTTTTGTTCCGTAGTCTGGGTCTAGGGAGCTTTTCATTGTATTATAAAAGGGGTGATGACGGGGTACAGTAAACGAAATTCTATTTAGTCCGTCAGTTAGGTGATCAAAAAATAATGGATACGTATTTTTTCTTTGGGCAATCAACCAAAAAATGACAAAGTTATAGCGCGTCAAAGTTTGGGAGTAGGGGCTCGTGACGACACTTTTTAGTGAATTTTCACTTATAAGTGTACTTAGCAAAACGTGACGTCATGCGACTTTTCAAATCAATATATCTATGCAATGTTTATGTTATGTGAAAATGAAAAAATACATGTCCAATACTTTTTGATAATCTACCTGATAAACGAAGAAAAAAAAATAGTCATTATCCCTATTAAGTATGTATGCTTCTTCATTTCGTTAAGTGTTTTCGTCCAAATAATGAGAAGAACTTTGGTTCGATTCCAGCCTGTTACCTACCGTTTGAGAGTTGATTTCTACTATATCTTTTTTAGATATTTCAAATTATTTGGTTATATTTTTATTTTTAAGCATTTAATGTCTAGACGATTAAAACTAAAGAACGTTTTACTAGCAAAAAATCCACGCTGAGCAGGCAGCAGACGGGACTCGAACCCGCACTGTCGTGCAACCTAAGCAATACTAGAAACTATTCGACACGGCCATTAGGGCCGCGGTAGCATAATGGTATAGCGAAGAGTGCGGGTTCGAGTTCCGTCTGCTGCCTGGTCCGCGTATATTTTTTTCTAGTAAAATTTTCTTTACATTTATTTATTTATTTAAAATAGGTAGATTTAAAGAAGAAATTCAGTCGGCACATAATAAATAAATATAGGTATCAAATATCGGAAACTCGCTAAAAACAAGATACATGGTAACAATCCCGTAAATAACTTGTATTACTATAATAAAGACTCCATTTTTTGAATCAATACGAATTGCATTCAAAGAATTTAAAAAAAATGCCCTCATAAACTGGAAATCAAAGCCATTAAATGTGAAAATTTAATTACCATATATTTATTTTCACTAACATATGATATCCCATGCGGTAATGTTTTGGGACAACCTGTATTTAAAGAAGTTTTAGTGCATTTCTTTATGCGGAGTATATGAATAGGATTAATTTTGAGTTTGTTCACAATGGGGCTGACATGTTATACCATTATGCTACCGCGGCCCTAATGGCCGTGTCGAATAGTTTCTAGTATTGCTTAGGTTGCACGACAGTGCGGGTTCGAGTTCCGTCTGCTGCCTGGTCCGCGTATATTTTTTTCTAGTAAAATTTTCTTTACATTTATTTATTTATTTAAAATAGGTAGATTTAAAGAAGAAATTCAGTCGGCACATAATAAATAAATATAGGTATCACTTATTTATTTTACTTATGGGTTTTTTTTTCACAAAAAAACATGTCAGCCCCATTGTAAACAAACTCAAAATTAATCCTATTCATATACATATACTCCGCATAAAGAAATGCACTAAAACTTCTTTAAATACAGGTTGTCCCAAAACATTACCGCATGGGATATCATATGTTAGTGAAAATAAATATATGGTAATTAAATTTTCACATTTAATGGCTTTGATTTCCAGTTTATGAGGGCATTTTTTTTAAATTCTTTGAATGCAATTCGTATTGATTCAAAAAATGGAGTCTTTATTATAGTAATACAAGTTATTTACGGGATTGTTACCATGTATCTTGTTTTTAGCGAGTTTCCGATATTTCGGCACTGTTGCAAGCGCCATGATCACGGTGTAACTTTACATGGTAAGAATCGCGTAAATAACTTATATTACTATAATGTTAGTGACCATGAAAGTTTAAAACAATAAAATGGAGTCTTCCTTCAGCAAAACTCAGTATTTCAGGTACTTTGAACTTCCTTCCATCTAAAAAAGGTTTTTGGGCACCCTGTACATATTTATTTTTATTTTGCAGGTGGTCATGGTACCCTGGTCGGAGTGATAAACTTGTTTGTGCACATTGTAATGTACAGTTATTACCTGCTAACTGTCGCCGTACCTAGCGTCAAGAAATCAATATGGTTGAAGAAGCACATCACTCAATTGCAAATAGTGAGTTTAATGTAATGATTTATTTCATACCAGCAGCCGCTAGTGCCTTTTTCCGTGTTGACTTTTTTTAGAGACCCACAGGAACTCAACATTTTCCGGGATATATAGTTTGCTATGTCTCAATTCAACTTTTATGCGTACCAACTTTAATACGTCGTCAGAATCATTTTTTTTGTTTCTTAGGTTTTCACGCACATCACTCATTAAATAAAACTAGTTTTTTACGGATTAATGCACGAAACTTTATTTATTTATTGACGTTTCGTAGCCTTTACAGGCTACGTCGTCAGAATCATTTTTTTTATTTAATTTTGTCGAGCTACCTTCGAAAGACTTTTATTGAGCGTTCGGTTATTTCATTGTTCCATTTTTAAAGTTTTATTGTCCATGTATGAATTTATTACTTAATTTAGTTAATAAAGTACTTTATTTAAAAAAAAATCTTTTTTGTGATATTGAATTTATTTATTTGACCCTAACTACCGTAAACTACCACCGGTTCCAAAAGTGGGAGACCTTTCTGAGAAGAACCGGCGAAACAAACCCAAGAGAGGCTTTCTATCTCCTTCTTATATTAAAATATGCAAACAAAAAGGACTCATAGTATCTGTTGGTCTAAACGTCAATAAATAAATAAAGTTTCGTGCATTAACCCGTAAAAAACTAGTTTTATTTTATTTTTATTTTTATTTTATTTATTTCTAAGAAAACCAACTTTTTATTTAACTTTAATACATTTTCGATCCGTAGTTTAACGTGAGTTGAGTGAAAAACTCGCAAACTTTCACTTTTATAATATTATTGGGAATAGTAGGATATACAACCAGGCAATATCAATAGGGCCCGTATTACAGAATGATAACTAAGTGTTGATCTTTACTTGAGTACAGTTAGAAAGGGATATCGCTATGTGCTATATATAGCGACATCCCTTTCTAACTATGCTCAAAACTAGATCAATCACTGAGAATCTTTCTTTAATACGGGCCTAAGAGCTGACTCGAGCTGAGAGATATTTGAAAAATAGGTATTTGAAAAAACTATTGCCATGTGATAGGAACAACAGTGGCTAACGCTGAAAATTGCAAAATTCGATTTTTGCCTCTCGACGATTTCCTCTTCAAAAATTAGCTATATGTATAAGGAATTTTACCCATAAATCGTCACATCTCCCTACGGCAAACTTATGAATCTACTTTTTTAATAAAAAACTGTACAAAATGGGGTACTCAAAATCTGGGAAAAGTCCCACAATTTTATCAATGTCGGTTCCAAAAGTCTAATTGTTTGAATCTGCATTTTATGTTTATGCACCCAAAATAAACTTACCAAATTAATATATACGATATTTTGGCATAGTAGGTTTTATTAAATTCAAATTCGTCAGTTTACTATGGAAGTGACGATATGTGCTTTTTTTCATAAATATTTATTGAATCACCACACCAGAGGTCTTTAATGGTGATTAAAAAAAATGTTTATTTTGACATTCTTTGGCCCTACAGTTTCTTTAAAACACAAGTTATCAAAAAAGGGAAGACATAGGAGCGTGGAATAAGTAAAATTATATTTTATGTAGAATTAGAGGAGCTAGATGGCGCCAGTGGTTAACGCGTTCGGCTACGGTCGTTGAAGTTGAGCAACTTTCGCAGTGGTCGGTCATTGGATGGGTGACCAAAAATTTACTATCTCGAGCTCCGAGCCCGAAGCACGGAGCTTCGGAAGGCACGTTAAGTCGTTGGTCCCGGCTGCATCTGCAGTCGTTAGCACCCGCCAACCCGCACTGGGCCCGCGTGGATCATGACCCAATCTCCCTAATCCATCCATAGGGAAGGCCTGTGCCCCAGCAATGGGGACATTAATAGGCTGATGATGATGATGATATTTTATGTAAGAAAATAATTTATTTAGTGATCAAAATCAAGGTGTAATCGGTCGAGAACGTTTGAATGGAATAAAACATCGCCAAACTTCTCTAAGCATCATCTACTCCTATGGCGACGTTTTTCCAATAGTTATGATGGGCAACGGCTACCCAGGGTGTCGATTCTGCTAAATTAAAGTGATTGGTGTTTCGATGATGTGTCAGTAGTTTTGTTTTTGACACAGTAAGTGTCGCCGCACACGGGCCACCCACCACAACCACAAAATGCCGCCACCGGCATATTTCTGGTAGTTTTCATACATTTTATATGGACTCGCCACATACGGTACGCCGGTGGCCGCCACACGCTACAAATCGTCGTTGCTCGCTTCTTGTGGCCCGCACCGGCCACGTAATGCGCCGATTCAAAACGTCGCCACACGTCACTCGCGCGGTGCTCCACCCCTCTCTTAGTAGCCGCTTCTAGCTTCTCGTGGCGGCGTTTTGTGGCTGTGGCGTGTGGCGTGTGGCGTGTGTGAGTGGTAAGTCGAGGTTATCCTGTGAATAATCATCAGGATAACCTGGACTTACCACTTTAAAATTGTATATATAGATATTGGTGTCGATTCTGGCAAGATTCTCTAAAGCTAAACTTAAATTTGATAACAGTGTACCTCTGTCATTCTCTATACAGACTGAAAAGGACAGACTGATGTCAAAATTTTTTAAGTTTAGAATACTGCCAGAATCGACACCATAGTATACTCATATTTAAGTGCTCAAGTACTTGTCCGGGAATGTAAATTGCACTTTGAAAAAGACTCAATATAAATCACGCCGTTCTGAAGTGTTGTGCTTTCAGGGCAATATTCATACTTGTCCCAGAAACATAGTCACAATAGGACCGTAAGCAATGTTACTGGATTTGCAAGTTCAATATCATGATGAGTCTCTCTTACTCATTATCTTTTCCTTAATTTCAGCTACAGTTCTTCTGGTGTGTAGTTCACATGGGCACTATAGTGTTCGTTCCTGACTGCGCCTACCCACGGTGGGTCGCTGCTGTTTTCCTCCCACAAAACCTCTTCATGCTGTTGCTCTTCATAGACTTCTACATCAAAACCTACATCAAGAAGAAGCCAGTCTCAAACAAAGAGCCGGAATTAAACCAATTTGGAAACGGACTGCAGAAAAATTACGGGAAGCAAAACTGTAACTCTAAAAAAAGTAATTCTAACAAAGAACACGACAGTTAGGACTTCCTTCATGTTAAAGTGTTAATATAATGTTACATACTAAAATCTTGATCTTTTCTTCTTTAGTAAATACTTTTGTTTATTGATTATAAAAGGTCAGTCTAAGAATTCTTTCATAGATCAATATAAACAAGAGTTAGTTTTAGAATTTTAATTTCAAACAAATTTTAATAAGTATTATTGCCGCTTTGCGTAGCTAGCAGCAGCGGGAATGTGATTCCGCTGGTGACTGCAATATCCATAGAGTTACCATCAGGTGAGCTTCTTGTCATCATCATTATCAGCCTATTAATGTCCCCACTGCTGGGGCACAGGCCTTCCCTATGGATGGAAATAGGGAGATTGGGCCATGACCCACCACGCGGGCCCAGTGCGGATTGGTGAGTGCCAACGACTGCAGATGCAGCCGGGACCAACGGCTTCACGTGCCTTCCGAAGCATGGAGGAGCTTGAGATAGCAGATTTTTGGTCACCCATCCAATGACCGACCACTGCGAAAGTTGCTTAAGTTCAACGATCGCAGCCGAACGCGCTAACCACTTGCGCCATTGAGCTCCTCGAGCTTCTTGTACAGACAGTTAATGAGGAGCTCGATGGCGCAATCTTCTATATCGAGTTTCTCCGTGATTCGGAAGGCACGTTAAGCTGCTGGTCCCGGCTGCATCTGTAGTCGTTTGCACCCGGCAATAGCACTGGGCGCGCGTGGTGGTTCATGGCCCAATCTCCCTATTCCATCTATAGGGAAGCCTGTGCCCCAGCAGTGAGGTCATTAATAGGCTGATGATGATGATGTACAGGCAATCCCAGGGGTCCCTTCGCCTAACGGGATCGCTATGGCTATCGCTATCGCTTACGAAAACATTTTGTTATTTCTGACTGCTGAAGATTTTCAAATGCCCCGCGTCGTTTTTTTCCTTTGTATTGGTAAAAACAATATTAAAGAAAATGAGCATAAGGCAATAGCAGTTGACGATTGACGCGATGGTTGACCCCCCCCCCCCCCCCCCCCCAAGCGCGTAATAGTCGATAATATCGGATAATTACTCACCTATGGGCGGGCTTAACCTACTTGTTACGGATATACCTTTTTTGAAAGAGTCTCTGTAATTTTTTATACATATACTAATGGAAGCATAATTATATAACAAAAATATACGTAACTTAAGCTTGATGGCGCAGGTGGTTACCGCGTTCGGTTGCGATCGTTGAAGTTAAGCAACTTTTACAGTGGTCAGTCATTGGATGGGTGACCAAAAATATTCTATCTCAAGTTTCTTCGTGCTTCAGAAGGTACGTTAAGTCGTTGGTCCCGGCTGCATCTGCAGTCGTTAGCACCCACCAATCCACTCTGGTGGCCCGTGGTGGGGCAAGGCTCAAACTCCCTATTCCATCCATAGGAAAGGCCTGTGCCCCAGCTAATATGGGAACATTAATGATGATGATAAATAATGCAGGCTTTATTTGACGACCTCCGTGGCCGAGTGGTTTATACGCCGGGTTTCATGGTGACTCGAGAGGTCCCGGGTTCGAATCCCAGTGGGGGTAGATGTTTGTGTGATGAATACGAGCATTTGTACTCCAGTCATGGATGTTTATTATGTATTTCTATATAAATATACTTATACTTTCTAATATACTTTCTATATATGTACAGTATATGTATTCTATCCGTTACCCTAGCATCCCATAACACAAGCCTTACAGTGCTTACTTTGGGGCTAGGCTAATTGGTGTGTGTTAAAAAAAATGTGATATCTGTTTTAGTACAATACATATGTATTAGGACAGCTACAAAGCCACACTGTGCTGTGATAATAACGACGCAATAGAAGTATGACCAAATATCGCAATAACGCATCCAATATTAATGACAGACATTAACGCGCCTATGGGCTGATACGGAGGCTAGAATTCATTATCAATTAACCTGATTTGTCATTTTGTGGGGAATATAATCTGTCACTGACTATAGACTGTATAGGTAATAAAATTAATTAACAAAGAAATAATTGTTTATTTTATAATATTTTAAGCATTTTAGCGCCTAACTACTAAGCATATATTAAATCAAAAACACATCTAAATCGGCTCAGGCGTTTGGAAGTTAAAGTCGAATAAAGAAACATGCATACATACATGAACCCTCAAAACATTAAACTCTTTCCTGGGGCAGTCGTGTAATAAATTGATAAATGAAAAATTTGGGGCTCCATATTAAATACAAGTAAAATACTTTTCTGGAAGCACAATTCATCAACAAACTATTAATGATCTCACTGGTGGGATAAAGCGCTTACCTTTAACATAATAATAACCACAGCATGGGTAAGTGAATGTTAACGACTGCAGATGAGTGGACTTACACAATCACATAATAAAAATCACAGTATGGGTAAGTGAGTACTAATGACTGCAGATAAATGGACTTAAATAATCACATTATAATAACCACAGTAAGCGTAAGTGAATAATGATTTCGACTGCAGATGAGTGGACATACACAATCACATAATTAAAATCACAGTATGGGTAAGTGAATAATGATTTCGACTGCAGATGAGTGGACATACACAATCACATAATAAAAATCACAGTATGGGTAAGGGAGTACTGACGACTGCATATGAATGGACTTAAATAATCACATAATAATAACCACAGTAAGGGTAAGTAAACGCTTACGACTGCAGATGAGTGGACTTACACAATCACATAATAAAAATCACAGTATGGGTAAGGGAGTACTAACGACTGCAGATGAATGGACTTAAATAATCACATAATAATAACCACAGTAAGGGTAAGTGAGTGTTAACGACTGCAGATGAGTGGACATACACAATCACATAATAATAAGCACAGCATGGGTAAGTGAATAATGCTAAGGACTGCAGATGAGTGGACTTACACAATCACATAATTAAAATCACAGTATCGGCAAGTGAATAATGCTTTCGACTGCAGATGATTGGACTTACACAATTACATAATAAAAATCACAGTATGGGTAAGTGTGTGCAAATGACTGCAGATGAGTCGACTTACACAATCACATAATAATAAGCACAGCATGGGTAAGTGAATAATGCTAACGACTGCAGATAAGTGGACTTACACAATCACACAATAAAAATCACAGTATGGGTAAGTGTGTGCAAATGACTGCAGATGAGTCGACTTACACAATCACATAATTATAATCACAGTATGGGTAAGTGAGTGGTAACGACTGCAGATGAGGGGACTTACACAATCACATAATAATAAGCACAGCATGGGTAAGTGAATAATGCTAAGGACTGCAGATGAGTGGACTTACACAATCACATAATTAAAATCACAGTATGGGTAAGTGAATGCCAACGACTGCAGATGAGTGGTGTGCGTGAAAATATCCCACAAATTATTGAAATTATAAAAGTGAAGGTTTCTATGTTTGTTACTCAATCACGCAGAAACGGCTTAACGGATTCGGATGAAATACATACATACAGCTTATAAACTGGAACGAGACATAGGATACTTTATATCCCAGAAAATTTTAAATGCCTGGGAGATTTTCAATAAACTAAATTTAACGCGGGCGAAGTCGCGGACGGCCGCTAGTAAGAAATAAATATTATGTTCATTAATTAGTTTCAACGTTGTTGTTTTTTTACATCACTACTCACTTTACATTGTTATTTTTGTGAAGTAGAAAAATAACAATGTAAAGTGAAAGTGAAGTACTGAAAAAAGTCTACGGCAAAGTAAAAAAAAATATACATTGTAGACCCTGCTATTAATGAAAAAAAAAGAAAAGAATAAATCCAATGTTTTTCTCCTTATTTTGGGGGAAATCCTTAACTTTGAGCCAACATTACACCAACGACCTAATGGCTCGGCCACGACCTTGCCGTCATGAGTGATGGATCAGAGAGATGCTCCTAGCGAGAACAACAGGCTAGTTGACTCATGTCAAATTGCACTATGCAAATGTTTTATTGACGTGACAACGTCTTAAATTAGGTTGCGGCTGGGAGTCACTTATGAAAAAGTGTAACGCTCGGTAACGTTACGATGAGTCTCTCGTGTTAAGTTTAAGTTTACATGTACAATGTTTTAGTAAACAAAATATATTTCTATAGTTAAAATTTGTGCAATTCTTATTTTCATTCAATTCCTTGTTCCTATTGTGCAATTTAATTATATTCATATCAATAAATATTCTACCGAGAAAAAGACGTTGTCACGTAAAATCTTCGCCCGTAAAACCGACTTTACAGGCAACCATTTTTTTCTTATAATTTTTGGTATGAGGAACCTAAATACATCGATTTCACTTCATAAAATTAGAAGATGGCTTTAGTCCTTTATTTAACCGATTTCAAAAAAGGAGGAGGTTCTGTGTTCGACTGTATATTTTAGTTTAAAATTCTGAAAAAAGAATGCGCTTATAGTACAGTCAGTCTGTCGAAAAAAATATCGTTTCAGTGAAAAAAAAGCCTAAAGGGCAAGTCTTGTTTTTTCTGTTGCCAAATGACGTCAGTAAGCCACCTTGGCGATGGGCATGTTCAACTCGTAGGCGTTTTTTGAAAAACTCAAAAAAACCGTCAAAAATGTTTGGAAACGCATTTTTCTTGTTTTGTATGCATTTTAGAAACTTTTTTTTCGACCATAATTGCAGAGGGCGTTGTGTGCTACAATTTATGTCATTGTTGCAATCTCGTACAACAAAAAATGCGCATTGTAGGTGGCGCTAAAGTCTAAAAAAAAGTGTTTTTTCACTTTTTCACCCTGAAAATATCGTTTTAATGGAAAACTTTAAATGGCTAAGTTATTTCGTACATAATTACCAACAACTTTTGTATAAACAATTTTTTTGTATAACTTACCGTTTTCAAGTTATAAATTGCGCAGGTATGAAAAATCCAACTCAAAACAAAACTCGTAGGGAGTTGAACATGCCCATCGCCAAGGTGGCTTACTGACGTCATTTGGCAACAGAAAAAACAAGACTTACCCTTTAGGTTTTTTTTTCACCACTCAACCTACAGATTGACTGTTCTATTAATGACGGAGAGGACTACGCTCTCCCTCCCACTGCCGCCATCCTAAGAATAAGCAAAGAGTCTGCCCTGGGAGTGCGGGGACCCGCATTACACTAGCTCTCTGGATGTCGATGCCCCTAATGCTCTGGGACATCTTCGTCGGGGCGGGTCCGTCACGGACAATCACCTTGCGGCTGCGTGGCCAGTTGGAAATCGGGTGCCACGACCTCGCCCGCAGTCCCGGCACGCATTGGGGGGACCTCGATC